AAAAATAAGAAAAAAGAAACACATTCAATCGAAGAAGAAGAGAAAAGAGAGAATGCTCAGACAAAAAATGGGTAGAGTCAATAATCAGCACAGTATAATTGATCAAATCAATTTCAGAGTGGTGCATGACTGTATCATCATCATAGCAAATTCTCAATTCGAAGGAGAGAGAAAGAAAGAAACGCAACAACAACAACTACAATATACACCTTTAACCCTAGCTTAGCCAACAAAAGGAAGCGAACCTACAAATAAGTTTTGGCAGAAGATGGTCTCTTTATATAAAGAGGGGAACACCAAACCCTAATGCTGTTTCACATTAGGTAATAGGTATACTACTTTGCCAATTGCCGCTCCATCAGTCCATGAAACCTGCTTTTAATTGGGCTTAGGAGGTGGGCTTTGTTCAAATATGGAACCAGACGTCCAAATTACTTTCCAAAAAAACAAATCATGGCAAAATGTTGTTTCCATATCATGTCAAGAGCTAATTGGCAAGATATTTTTCAGCAGAACAGGTCATGCATACTATGCAAAGAGCCAAAGACTTTAATTTTCAATGGCTTCTTGGTATGATTCATTTGCTGAAACCAGGAGTTGCAAACACTCTTTAATCTTCAATGGCTTCTTGGTATTATTAATTTGCTGAAACCAGGAGTTGTCGAGGACTAAAGACCTAAATAAAGAGTTTATTGTGACTATAATTCTTAAATAATCATATACGTTTCAATGGACTTTTGGGAATCTCATTTGAATTTAGTATAGTTCTGACTTGGAAATTAGTATCAAATTGACACCTAAAGAAACTACATGCAAATTTTAGGTAAGGAGCAATACATAGCTAAGCTAAACATTTCTCACAACCAAATTAATCTGAAAGAGATTTCAGCTTTGTGTTGTACACTTACAAAAACTATCTTCAATTCTTCACACAATTCATTTAGCCATGAAGATGCTGTTAAAATGGTTCTGGCTTCAGATTTCATACTTAGAAAAACTATCTTCACACAATACAGGGTGCGAGCATGCGACCGCAGATTTGTCATATCAGACTCCATGCACATATAAACAATTGGAGAACACCAAGCGAAAAATAACTTTTCTCCATTGCTTTTGCAATTCGCAAGATAAAGGTACTGAACAAGAAGGAAAAATGTAAAACTGGAAAGTGCTTATGTAGAAATAAATCAAAGCTTTTTTTGATTTTTTAATAACCGCGTTTCTTTGCTCACAGAAATTGCAATATGCCAAGAACAACAAGAAGAGAACTTACCCAAGTAGGAAATTCCATCTGCTATATAAACATGTAGTTACTATTCTTCAGATTGTAGTATTGTACAGGCTTAGTAGAAACTGGCTTAAAATAGTAATTCTATGAAGTTCAATGTGGAAAAATGTACAGTTTTGTTATGACTACTGTAATCTAGATTACTGACAGAAACTACATGGGTGGCACATTGCCTGTCATTACTGTAATCCCTTTAATTTTGAGTGGTATGAAACTCTACTATTTGTTAATTCTGATAACTAGGATGAGAAAACTGAGGTACCTGTGGCAACAAAAATAATGCATATTCGGTGGTACCACATTGCAGCTTTGATCAAATTCGTCTTTAGCTGTACACTCAAAGGCTACTCCTAATGTTTCTTTTAAGGTAAAAACGGTTCACGCCTCTTCACGACCAACTTCTTTATCCTATATAACAAAAATATCACATCAGAAGATCTATCAAATCAAGAACATCAATAGCAATATTGGAGTTTAACAGACTAACCTACCTACTGAAGGATGCTGAAGACTTGAATTCAAAACAATTGTGTCATGACAACTCCCATCAAGTATAATGATGTATGTCCATTATAATTTTTTTATTATTGTTTTCTCTTTGCACCAGTCAAACCACTGTCACTAACGCTTCCTTCAACAAGATGGCCACGAGCTTCTACAAATTCCTCTGACCATGAGTTCAAAGGAACAAGAGCACTGTCATCTTTAGATTTCCTCCTGCGCTTCTCATGCTCCTTGACATTTTCAGAAATCTGGTGGAAGGTTTTGTTTATTTTGGCAATTCCTCGCTCTACTGGTTCTACTACATGCGAAACCGTGAATTTCACATCATCAACCATCTAAGAAGACATAAAAGCAGATACAATCAGAAAGGTCAAAGAAGAATCTATGAACCTAAAAGTGATACCAAATAAGCCGAATGAAGTAACGTACAATTTCTCCACCTCCCAGCACCACATCACGAACACTTTGACGAAAATTTAATCGTTTTTCTCTCTCATCATGGCGAGATCGATGCATCCTTGCAGACCTTGCACTCTCTTGAACCTCATCTGGATCAGCAGGAGCTCCTAGTGATGCATAGTCATCCAAAACAGCAACATTACGAACACATCTTTCCCCACGTATATAAGGTTTAGCTGGGAAGACACGAAGATGCACCACAGCAGCAACACCCATCTGTTTCACAGACAAAGATATCGTACTCTAGCTTCAAAAAATTTCAAATAAATGCCAAGTACCCTAAGTTTTATCAGGACAAATAATAGCAGAAAAGAAAATCCATTTAATAGTTTGTCGAAGGAAAGACAATGGCCACTTAAGCATACCCATTTATTCACAAACTTGTAACGCATCCAGATTCCAAATCCCAAAATTGAAGAAACAAGAGATTATACTTGTTTTTTCATATTTATTAGACATAACAGGGAATGCATGAATTTCCCTCAAGAATCAATCTTTGCGTCTTTTACACAAAATTCAGGAAAAATGATCGAGTAAACCTACTTCCCAAAAAAAAAAAAGACACAACAGTTTCCTTGGAAGCGGAAATTTAGCATCTTCACTCAAGCCTCTTGCTTAAATGATAAATATGACATCTCTCCCTTATGTCTTGGAAAACACCTAGCATATAGTTGTATGCTATTCTGTGAAGTGCATATATTTTGGTTTTCTATTTTGTAGATTTGCCTAACTGTAAATTTTTGATAAGTGAATAAACTCATCACGCAGGTGCACATGTTATTACTGAATCTCTACAATTTTCCTACACTTAGCACTTAAGTACTTAACCTAGATGATTTTTAAATGAGATACATCGTGCACGTGACAAGATAAGTACAGGTTGGAAAGTTTATAAACCAAACCTCAATGCAGATGATATAGTCTTGAATACGTGTTTTCAACTCTTGCGCCAAGGACCCTTTAAATGCTCCCATCGAGAAGAGAAATGCAATAATGAAGCCTTGCCACCATGTTAGGAATACAATTGATTTGAAAGTAAGAAACTTCGCTAGGGGGTTAATAGGTTCAAGCTTCTCTTTGATGACAGAATAGAACTGTACAAGACAGTATAGTGCCCAGGTCTGACTAAAGTTTAGAACAACTGCAAGATATGGATACCTGCAGGCAAATGATAGCAGATATCGATAAATATAATTGTAAAAAAAAACGAAAAAGTACAACCTGGTGTATACTATCAAAACATACATTTAAAACAGTGTCACTTCTTTGTTAATATGTTAAGGCATGGATAAATATGGAATGAAATTCACAATCGAGAAGAAATATAAATCAAGGCAAGGATGACATACCCATATCTCCATTCAAACTTCCCTTCTCCATAAACTCCAATAAATTGAAAAATAATTGCTAATAAAGCACAGATCATCTTCAGTATCATCTGAAAGAAATGAATTTTGGTAAAGCAAGTACACATGGTTCAAAAGTTGAATACACAGAATTATCAACAGGGGAGACGTACATATTGAACAATCCCAATTTTCACTGCATGATAGAAATCAGGACCGAGATACCATGGCCTTAACAAGCAATTCAAGGGAAACGGATGCCTTATAGCTCCATCAGAATAAGCTGGTTCCAGAAGAGGAATGTCAGACTCAACTTGGTCCTGTGTCTCCATAAACTTAATTGTATTCTCCTCTCC